CACAGAAAAAAAAACAACTTCTGAGTTCGTTTGAACCAGGATGTAGAAATGTACATTTCCTCGAACCCCGCCCTCGGAACGAATTCAAATACCCTTGCTTTTCTCCTTCCTTTCTGTTACGCTTCGCGTTGTGCGTTTATGCATTTATTTTTAAATAATAAAGCGCTAAGAAATTATTTAGCCTGGCTCACCTGAAGATGCTGAAAGGTTGAAACTAAGGTAGTGTGATCGGCTGATCTCCTATTTTTTTTTTTTTTTTAAATCAGTGAAATTGATATTATCTTGAGAAGACCTACTGAAGAAGAATTAAGCCACCAACAACAATCGAACCTGTATCGCTTTTTCCCATCAAGGAAACGGCCACTTTTAACCAAAGAACTGCGCTTTCCTTAAATAGCTAATTCAGATATTAATCTGTCCCCGTGGCCGAAATGGCAGCGACACTCTTACGGAATGCCAGAAAGACATAATTACGGTTAAACATCTTAACACTTGATTTTTACTTTACATGCTGCTTTTACAAATTAGAATTTGCCTAGCTTCAACTCATGTGACTATTTTACGCCACTTTCATTGTTTCAGTGTTAATTCATTCACACACATAGAGACATACACGTTTGTTTAACTTGGATGACTGTCTTTTCTTTATCTCTTTTACTATTCCCTTGGGAAAGTAACGACGTGTTCCTCTCAATCTCAAATCTTTTTTTTTTGATTATATGAAGATAAAAATCGAGAATATTTTTTTTTCTGGGAATGTGCTTCAAATTAAAATGAAAAAAGTAAAAGATTATTTACAATATGATACACAGTCTCCTTCTTTCCTGCCTTCCTTCTTTCTTTCTTTCTTCTTGTTTTCTTTCTTTCTTTTCTTGTTTCCTCGTAATTTTCTAATTTAAATTATCTTTATTTTCTCTCTCTCTCTTCCTTTCTTTCTTTCTTTCTTTCTATCTCTTTTCTTTCTTTCTTTCTTTTCTTCTTTATTTCTTCTGTATTATTTATATGTAATTTTCTAATTTAAATTATCCTTTATTTTTCTCTCTCTCTCTTCCTTTCTTTCTTTCTTTCTTTCTATCTCTCTTTCTTTCTTTCTTTCTTTCTTTCTCCTCCTGCTTTATTTCTTTCTGCTGTTTTATTCTATATCTTCTCCTTTATATGTAATTTTTCTAATTTAATATTATCCTTCATTTTTCTTTTTTTCTTTCTTTCTTTCTTTCTTTCTTTCTTTCTTTCTTTCTTTCTTTCTTTCTTTCTTTCTTTCTTTCTTTCTTTCTCCTCCTGCTTTATTTCTTTCTGCTGTTTTATTCTATATCTTCTCCTTTATATGTAATTTTTCTAATTTAATATTATCCTTATTTTTTTATTTTCTTTTTTTTTTCTTTCTTTCTTTCTTCTCTTTTCTTTCTTTTTTCTTTCTTTCTTTTTTCTTTCTTTCTTTCTTTTTTTCCTGCTTTATTTCTTTTCTTTCTTTCTCCTTTATATGTAATTTTTCTAATTTTTTCTTCTTTTTTTTCTTTCTTTCTTTTTCTTTCTTTCTTTCTTTCTTTTCTTTCTTTCTTTCTTTCTTTCTTTTCTTTTCTTTCTGCTTTGCTCTTCCGGATTTCTTTCGATCTGATGTTTTATTCTCTTTGTTCGTCTTCATTTACATATTCTTTTCTAATTTAAATTCGCCTTCTTTCTTTCTTTCTTTCTTTCTTTCTTTCTTTCTTTCTTTCTTTCTTTCTTTCTTTCTTTGCTATTCCGGCTTTCTTTCTATAAGATGTCTTATTCTCTTTGTTTTTCATTATTTATATGTTGCTTTCTTTCTTTATTTCCTTTGTTTTCTCACCTTTTTTCTAACGTGTTTTTCACGCATCTATATATTATTTATGTTTTCTTTCTTCCTAAAACGTGTTTTTACTTGCTACTTACATTTTTATATTTCTCTCTTTACTTTAGTGTATGAAAACCTATATTCATTCATTTTTCCTTCTTTCCTTGCTTCCTTTCTTTCTTCTCTGCAAATGACTGGGTTACATTGACACAGTATACCCGACTTTTCTCGTCCCCCCAATATGCATTACCCCTTTTTCCTTTTTAGTTATATATTTTTTCTCTTTTTCTTAAAAACTAAAAAAAAAAAATCTGTCAAATACTTACTTTCACGATCCCCAAGCTAACCAACCCGGCCACCTATCACTGAAGACGCCAGGTGTAATTGTTGGCACTTGTCTTTTTACTAATGCCATTTGAAGCGAGCAGGCTCTTCTCTCCTTGTTAAATAGATTATAGAAAGGGTTATAAATGGTAAGCGTGTGACGGATCCAGGGGAGAAAACTTTTCTTTTGATGTCGTTCTCATATCTGCGTTAAGATTTTTATTTTTATTTTTTTTTTGATGGAGGTGAAGTTTCGTTTTTATTTTCATTCCATTTGATGCTTAACATTTCTTTCTTTCCCTTTTGGAAGCAGTGTTTCAAAACACGGCATACACTGACGCATACTTTCATAGTAAGATCTGCTTCATCAGAAATATATATATATATATATATATATATATATATATATATATATATATATATATGTATGTATATGTGTGTGTGTGTGTGTGTGTGTGCGTGTGTGTATAAAGACAGGAAGAAATGCATTGTAATATTAGAAATAGACCTCATACGTAATCACACAATATTATACACACAGAGACAGACAGAAAACACATACACACACACATATATATATATATATATATATATATATATATATATATATATATATATATATATATATATATATATATATATATATATATAATGTATTTGGGCAGCAATGCTTCTTTTATACAAGTTTCGTTTAAAAACGACTGAAAAAGTACTGCGAGTAAGGGTTTTTATGTAATTTTTAGTATCAAGATAATTTGTTACTTATCTGAACATAAAATATAAAAACATTGGCCAAATGTTCTGTAAGCACGGGCGCTTTGGGCTATGAATGATTTTATTTTTACTTATTTATCTAGAGTTATAGGAATCTTTTTTTTTTATTGTTTGTTTGTTTCCAAACATGGCAAGTACATTCTGGCCGTGTTCGTACTTGATGTTATTGTGTGTTACGCTCATCTTTTTTATTATGAATTCTTCCATCATTTTTAGCCGTTTTAGTCTATTATATTTGTATTTCAACAACTAAACTCAACTTCTACGACCATACTGGCAAAATTCATACTAAGTCTAACGGCGTTAGTATGGAAATCCACTTAGACAATGCTTCCCAAACTACAACCGGTCTCATGAAAACAAAGTATTTAAAAATGTTACTCAACCTAAAATATATGCCAACTATTTAGATGATATTTTTAGTTTAGCTAAAGACAAAATGAAATGGATAATCTCAGAGCTACATTCGAAAAAAGTATTTCCTTAACTTTACCTATGAACAAAATTAATCCCCCATTAATCTCCCATGGACGTTCTTGAAACACTTGCAATCTTAATTTTACTAGTGAAATACAAAATTTTACTAGTGAAATACAAAATTTTACTAGTGAAATATAAAAAGTTTACTATTGAAACATAAAATTTTACTTGTGAAATATAAAAATTTTTCTAGTGAAATATAAAATTTTACTATTGAAATATGAAATAAGAATTATAATATACTTCATCGTGTGGGCGAACGAGAATTCATACTTCTTTTCGCTTTTCTTTAAAGAACTGAAGAACGTGAAACTGATGCTATTTAATAACGATTTTCGGAATTAGCTATCCTTTTTCTTTCTAAGGTAAACAATAAAAGCAGTGGAAGCACAGTTAAAAACATCTAAAAAATCAAATACTCGTTAAGTACAAGCAGGATGAGTCTTCCCTTAGAAACATTATAAAGAAATCAATACAACTCTCGTCGAGAGATGCAAGAAAATTAAATTAATCATCTACTATAAAAATTTAAAACTGCTACATTCTTCTTCAACAACAATAATTCATTTGCAAAATCCAAATGACAGAAAAACAATATTATTTATAAATCCTCATGTCTCTTAAGGAACTTTGTTCCTGTTCAAATAAAATTCATGAATAATTGTATAGAACATACCACTACATACCTAACAAATGACTCACCTTACATCTCAGATCATAGTTCAATTGGGTCCCATTAAATCACTGGCGGAAACATACCAAACTCCATCCGCAATATGCTCGTAGAAAATACAAATATAATAGCCCTATTCAGATATAAACAATGCTAAAAAATAATGGAAGAAAAAACAACACTCATTAACGTCAAATATGAAGACAGCCAGGATGTGCTGACCGTGTTTTAGAAAATAAAAACATCCCAATACATACATATGAAATCCATACATTGAGATAAAAGTAAAAAAAAATCATCCATGATAATGGCTAAAAGATTAGCCGAATGGGCTCGGACAAACAGAACATTCGGGCAATTTATGTATTCATTACATACAAATTTATAATATATATATATATATATATATATATATATATATATATATATAAACGAAACAGAAAAATTAAATAAGAAACGTAAATGCAGTATAATGGCGGTCGTTTTTTTTTTTTTTTTTTTTGTTCAGTTCTTTAAAGAAAAGGGGACGAGACGATGAATTCTCGTTCGCCATCAAGATGATTTTTTTTAAATAAATTATTATTTCTACCTCATTATCATTCCTTTCTTTCAGAACACAAAAAGTAAATAAAAATTTTGGATACATGATTTATTTGTTTTTTTTTGGTTTTTTTTTCCTGGCTTATCAAACATTTGCAAGTTATTTACAGTCAGAAAATATTTTCACATTGTAAGAATATTTTGGAGACAATAATGATTTACTCACACAGGTCCTACAAGTTAACCCATGGAATTGGGATGGGTAAGATGCGGATTCTTACCTTTCCCAAAGTTATTAACGCGTACCTGTTTATAATGACCCCAACAGGAATTGAAACTCGGGTTTCCGACTTCCAGTTCTGAGGCATTATCTATTCCACCACCTGCACATTCAAGCTTACAACACTTGGCATTTCTAAGCGGTCACCCATCTAAGTACTAACCAGGCACGACATTGCTTAACTTCGGAGGTCAACGTTATGTAAACGTATGCCTTGGACACCTGAGACGACAGCCCAGAATCAACATAAAATAAATCTGATGCTTTATTAATTCACAAACCACACTCCGGTAGCTATTCGTTCATGGACGCCATTGTAATTATTTTGTCTACGAAAGATTCATTCATTAAGCAGAGTATATATATTGAATCATTTTACTGGCAAGGAATTTCTTTTCTACCTGAAATATTTTATAGATTCCTTAGAAATGTTACCATTCGCATATTGAGGAAATTAGTCTTGGAGAATATAACACGCACAGGGTAAGAGAAGTTGGGGAAAAAACTGCGAATGACCTACTTGTCCAGTTTGAATATATGAATGGTATAACTGGGAGCAGGAACAAAAGCAGGGTTGTTGGTGGAGCAGGAAATGGCGGCACTTCTAGAGAAAGAGAGAAAACATGAGAATTTATTATTTTTTTAAAATTAAAACACTTAGAGTTGATGTACTTCTTATGAATAATCAAAAGTGGTCTCCCCTTGTTTTCTTATTCTCTTCTTTGAGAGAGCTATTTCTGTTTACTGGGACTATAAAAGGACACTACAAGTTAACCTTGTATTATCAGTTGAATAAAGCTTTCTTATACTTGTGTACGCTTGTTATTACAACACGATGTTACTAATATTACTTTCTAATTTTACTCTATCATAATATTGTTGTTATATCACAAATCACTAAACATATGCATTCATTATTTAATTTTTATTATATTTTATTTAGATTTATTTTAATACAATAGTCAATATTTTAATCTATGTTGCTTTACTACAATAGAGGAGGCACAGATATCAGCTCGGATTGAGGAATCGGAGAGCTGAGTTCGAATTCCAGTCGAATCCATTGCATTCACTTACGTGCTAATATCCATTGAGAAAGGTATAAAACCTCTTCTTCTACTCCCAGCTATGGGTAAATAATCCATGGGTAATTGTTCTATAGCCTTGGATGGCAAATGATCTAACACAGAAAGAATTCGGGAAAAAATCTGCCTCTTCAGCGTGTATCATGCACGGCATATAACAGACTTGTTACCAAAACACTGAATTTGTACACTATTCAATATTAATATTTTTATTAGTTTTAATCTATCTTATTTTCATTGGATTATCTATAAACTCTGGGTTTATAATCTGTATTATTAATATTTTGTTATTACAAAGTTTACTCTTTTATATTTTGTTGTATTTTATCATAATAATCTTGACTGATAAACACTTCGTTATTAATACTTTCAGTTTCACTATACTTTTCCATTATTATTTTAACCCCAAGTTTTCTTGGCGCTTACACTTTTTATTTTATTATTTTCTTACTAGATTTACTCCTTACTTCAGATGTTTTTTTTTATTTTTTTATCTCTCAGCGTTGATTCCATTCTTTTTTCTTATTTTATGATTGCTACTTCTTTTCTAAACCAGCGCTAACCAATTTTACGACTTAAAAAGAATCTGTTCTTTTTCCCGACATCCGTACTTATGCTTGGCCTGCGCGCCTCACTCTCGTTTCGTTAAGAATAATCGTATCAGCTCTCACCGAATCAAATAAGTTGATTAACTTCTTTGTATATTTTAATTTCATTATTTTAATTGCTTCTCCCTTCAATTTATTTTTTTATACTTCGTTTTAAGTTTTGTTCTATTTCAGATTTTTATTTTAGGTTATTTTCTTTTGCATGAGACTGAAATATATTTTTTTTATTTATTTATTTTCCGTCTTTTTTCATGGAACAATTTTAATACGGTTTTTGCCCTTCCTGTTTCTTTTTCGCCATACGAAACTCGATTTTCCTTCTTTTCGTTCTCGTTTAATTTTTTCTTCTTTTACCTTCTTTTCTTATTTCTCTTTAATTTACACGCATTTATCCTTTTTTCATGCTCTAAATTCTTGCAGAATTTCTTTTTTTTCTTTTTTGCATTTCTCACTTTTAATCATTTTTCTCCTCATTTTCTTTTCTTCTTTTTTCTATTTTATTTATTCTTTCTTCTCCTTATTTCTTCGACTCATTATTCCTTTAATTTTATTCCATACTATTCACAAATAATCTTGCTTCTCGTTTTCATTTTTCGATTTTTTTTCATTTATAAATGTTTTCTCCTTTTCTACATTAACCTTCATTGTATTGCTGATAAACTAGAATAGTGCAACAGGTCACCGAAAAATGAATTTTTGAACATCAACAAAAAGATTTCATGAGCCTTGTGCTAATCCCAAAACTTTGTGTAAAAAAAAAAAAAAAAAAAAATGATCATAAAAAATCGAACTATACTCGAGTATGCACGATTTTTCCACTTCTCTTTACTTTCTGCATTTAGTTTCCTTTATCATTTTTTTTATCTTTCTCCCTGTAATTTTTCTATTACCTTTAATTTTCGTCTTTTCATTGCCACCAACACTCAATGGACGATACTTTATTTCCCTCTCTCTCTTTCTCTTTCTCTATCTCTCTCTCTCTCTCTCTCTATCTCTATCTCTCTCTCTCTCTCTCTATACATATATATATATATATATATATATATATATATATATATATATATATGCATATATATCTGTCTATATTTCTGAGATGAGCTATTATGTACACTATTTACATTATTCGGATTATTGTCCTCATCTTTGTCACCATATTTATCACAACGTTTCGGCCGTTGTACGCTCCGACCTTCTTCAGGCGGTTGGAATGTCGAACTGAACCCTTTATTTCGCTCATTGGGGGTAGACTGTTCTAGTTTTTCGTGATGTGTCCAATGTTTGTCAGTTACCAGTTATCTCCTGTTAATTTCGCTCTGCAAGTTCACCAACGCCTTACGCAGTTTGTCAGATGATCTCAGAAGTGTGAAACCCAGGGTTACAAACTCATATCCATACGACTGAATATGTTAGCTCTATCACTGATATTGAGCGCGCTCCATTAAATACTGCGGGTATATAAAAATATATATATATATATATATATATATATATATATATATATATAAACAAAATGCAATCATAGTTGGGGTGGTTCTATTTGTAATACAGCTGTTAATTGAATTACTCATTGCAAAGTTGATCCTATGCGACATAGGATAAAAGAAGAAAAAAATAAAATCAAACTGGAATTTGCTCAAAAACTTGAATGATCCTCAGGCCAGGTGAAATATTTATCTTGTGTAGGTCGTGGTTTACGCTTTAAATATGAAGAACACGGAGTTAGTTGTTTTTTTTTTATCGCAAGGATGTGAATGGCAACCTGGCGCCATGTTCGTTATTAAATACTTTTGTGGATCTGCATGTTTCAAAACCCAGGCTTGAAATTGAATAAGAGAGCGGAAATTATGACAGGATGTTTACATGTGAAAACCATCTTATAACTAAAAGAAAACAAGGTGACATTCACATCCGGGCTAACAAAAAAAAAATATAAAAAATAAAAATAAAGAAAAGACAATACGATTTTTTTTTTACGCGTTACGACAAACTGCAAGAGATAAAAATTGAACCTGGACTGTCGATCCTTCAATTTTGATGGTGAAACTTGAGTTGCTACTGTTTTTTTATAACCTTATATATATATATATATATATAAAATATGTATATAAATATAAATAAATATATATATGTATAATTATTTATATATTATATGCGCGGTACTTATTAGAAAGCGCTCAATATCAGTGATAGAGCTAACATATTTGGTTGGATAGATGTGAGTTTTTCATAATATGACATGGATACATTCACGAGACATTAACGAGACATTTCCGCCACACTTCCAATGTTTAAATTTCAACATTTCAACATACAAATGCGTATGTATAGACATAACACCACCCGTATACATAGATGTGTCAGAGCCGAAACTACTCACATATGTTTATATATGTATGAGTCCCGACGGACGACCAAGTATGTATATGTGTCTGCATACATCGATGTTTGCGTTAGTACGATGAATGACAAAACGACGATATTTCCCCCACCACTTCCACAATAACACCAATACACGCAATCTACATAAACCCAAATTTTTTAAAACAATAATCAGTTTGTCTGACGATCGCTAAAGCGTGAAACCCAGGGTCACAAACTCACATCTATCCAACCAAATATATATATATATATATATATATATATATATATATATATATATATATATATATTAAACTAGGTAATCCGTCCGGAGAGATCAATGTAAATTCAGAGCAACACACACACACATATATATATATATGTATATATATATGATGAAGATTATTGAGAAGTAACTGCCTATATTATGTATGATGGACTCTCCGATCTTGTAAAAAGTATACTTAGACGGAGGGTCCATCATACATAAAATAGGGGGAGCTATATATATATATATATATATATATATATATATATATATATATATGATTGTTTATTTAAGCGGCAATCCTCTTCCATTAAAAGCTACTGACAAGGTACTGCAGGTAATTCTTTTATTTAATTTTTTTGTTTTTTAAAATTTTCTTTCTTTAATGAATTTATAAATTTAAATGAATAACAGTACCGGCTAATATCACTATTTACTTACACACACACACACACACAGACATACACACACACATACATACATACATATATATATATATATATATATATATATATATATATATATATATATATATATATATGTGTGTGTGGGGGGGGGTGTGTGCGCGGTTTTTCAACCATCCCTGTTAAACTTTAACTAGCCCTGTATATAAAGCAATTGTTAAAGATTAAAAGAAAGAAAATAAGCACATTATAAATTATTTTCAACGCGCCACAAATATCATATCAAGGCCATGTCCATTTCTTAACTGGTTTGAAGAAAACAGCTTTTACATACCTCGAAGCATGTGTTTTCCATGACTGTCACTTAGTATATATATATATATATATATATATATATATATATATATATATATATATATATATATATATATATATATATGAAAAGGTGAACAGGTTTATAATGGAACTAA